ACTATAGCAGTAATTTTCCAAAAAGAAGGAATTCGGTCTGCAGGCCAGCCCACAAAACCCTATTTAATCCGTAATACTTTTGAAGTGGTGTCACAAATTCATGTTTCCTGGTCGAGTTCTGGCCTTGGCCTAAGAGACGTTATAGCCTGGAAGCATGAGAGTTGAGGGCTCTCTTTACACAGAATTTTAAAAACAGCCACACTTTTCTCTGGCACTGTTCTTGTGCCATGCCCCGAGGAGACCCCTCTCTGCAGCCCCAGTGTGCCTGTGACCAAGCTGGCCAGACCTTTTCTACCCCGAGCATCTAGGATCTTGAGGACCTACTTCTCTTCCTTCCAGTGGAGCCTCTTCTCCTAAGGGAGCTTCCTATTAGATGAGTGTGGAGGACAAAGCAATACATAATTAAATAGATTTGTACTAAGGATGAATTATTTCCTAGTCACTAACTCCTTTCTTGCTCCAAATTCAGAAATTCTGCCCATTTTTTTCTAGAGCCAGTTCTGGCTTTTCATATCTTTTTTCCTCCTCTTCTGAAGCTACATAGCTTATAAGTCTCACACTTTCCATAATGGTCCCAGTGCAACCATGGCAAATGGCTTTGTTGTGGGGAGGGGAGGGGGAGGAGGGGCAGTGTGGGGAGAGTGTGTGAATTTGCAAAGCCCACCCTGGCACCCTGAGTGAGCTGGGCTCTGGCCTCTGGAGAGCACATCTTGTAGCCTGTTGGTTGCTGTCTTTCCAAGGCAGAGGTTTGGGACCCTGCTGTGTTGCGGATTCCCAGGCACCGCCTAGCCCTACTCAATTAGAATCTCTACAGGTCTCATCAAATGTCTCTATTTTAAGTTTTTTTTTTTCCTGAGTTCAGATTCTTTTTCTGGAAGGACTTTCACATCTCCAATTGCTTAGGGATACCTCTATTTAGAAATTCCACTGGTGCTTCAAACCAGAGCTCCAAGAGCAAATTTTCTCAGTGAGAGACAGTTTACTGGGGGAAGAAAGTGGAGCGAGGAAAGCCAAGTTCATCTATGAACCTTAAGGAATATCTGCTGTCACATGATCATAGGAGGGGAAGACAAAGAGCCAAAACAGAGACAGGAAAGGGGCAGGATACCAGCTTGCCTCTGAAGTCAGAATTTTGAGGCAGGTTTAGACAGTAATGTCAAAGCCTCTGAAAGGTCACTTGTTCTTAAGGATGTCTTTTTACCCTGGCTCTCCCATCTTCCTCTGGCTCAACATGGAGTAAGCCCTGGCTATTTGCTCTCATCCACTTGGTACAGACATTCAAACAATCCAACGGAAACTGGCAGGGGGTTAAAGATTTTCACTTTTCGAATGTCTCTTAGGCTTCAGTTCAGTTCAGTTCAGTTGCTCAGTCACGTCCGACTCTTGACCCCATGAATCGCAGTACGCCAGGCCTGCCTGTCCATCATCAACTCCCGGAGTTTACTCAAACTCATAACACATCGAGTCGGTGATGCCACTAGCCATCTCATCCTCTGTCGTCCCCTTCTCCTCCTGTCCTCGATCCCTCCCAGCATCAGGGTCTTTTCCAATGAGTCAACTCTTCGCATGAGGATATGCACAAAATGCTTTGATTAGAATCAAAACAGTAAATGGCCTGACTTCCTCCTATTGCCCATTGCCAATCCCTTCTCCACCCAGCAGTCAGAGTGATCCTTCCACAGTGTCATTCCTCTGCTTAAATCCCTCCAGTGGTTTCTTTTCATCGCACTGAAACTAATACCTGTACTCCAACAGGCTTGTGAGGCCCTGCAGACCTGGCCTTCCCCCGTGTCCCTCACATCTGCTAGGCTTCAAGTCACACTGCCACTTCTGAGAACTCACCAAGCTCATTTATCACTTGTAAAACTCTTCCCTGGCCCTTGGCATGGGAACCTCTACCTGTCTTCCTTTATGCATCATTTTGGAAGTTACTTTTACAACCACCCTTTCCAAAGCAGATATCCCTTCTTGCAGTCTCTACTACAATACCCCTTTACTTGCTTTCTATCTGTTATCACAATGTATAATTATTCTGGTTAGCTCTCTACTTTATTTATTTTGTTACTGTTTGTCTCTCTCATCAGAATGTAAGCTTCACAAGGAAAGGAATGTTTCAAATTCACCACTGTATCCCCAGGGTACATAGTACCTGGCATATAGTAAATGCTCAACAAATAATTGTTAGCTAACTGAATTACCCAAAGCAAGTCATTCATCCACTCCACAGATACTTATTGAGTGGATACATGTACCAGATTCTGAGGATATAATAAAATACAAGGTGGACAAAATGTGAAGCAAACCCTGGATAAGGGAAAAAAAGACAGTGCTTATATCTAAGAGTAATCCTATGCTAATACAATAACTTACTGGGCTGCAAGCACATATTAATTTTTATTATGTGACAGACATTATGTCAGTACATTTGGTGCCACTAAAAAACTAAGGAATATCATGCCTGCTTTTTGATAGACTAAAGTATATAGAATAAAGAAAGAAAAACAGCAAGAGGGAAAAAAGAGGGGAGGGGCAGAGAGGAGAAGAAGAGGAGAAAATAGTCCAGTGATGTCTCTATTCTCAGAAAACTTAAAGAAATTATCTTTAACACTTAAAATAGAAGATAAGGTTAGAGTCATACTAAATTAAAAAAAAAGAAAGAAAACAGAAAATTTGGTATGCTATTTCAAAGCAAACAATCCCCTAAGAAAGCTCTATATTTATTCTAATAATGTTGTTAATCCTGAAAACATTCATGGAACTGCCATCTTCAAATTGCTGCCAGAGATAGTTTATTAAGCGTACAGAAAAAGAAAAAACATTTTACTTTATTTTTAATCCCCAATGATATTTCCCAGATTGATTTCCCATCATTCTCCTTGAACTTGCTTTCACTGGACCTATTGAGATTGCTTTAAAAATCAAATTCATTCCTAAAGGTCAAAGATTCATCATACTGAGGATATTCTAAAACATGCACACTTAAGCCAATCCTCAGAAAAGAGTTCCAGGAATGTTTGAACAAAGATAGAATCTTCTCAATGACCACTATGAAAGAGACAGAATTCATCTGGATAAACAGCTAAATCTAACTAATCTGACATCACTAGAAATGGGGTATTCTGTATCTTTCACATACATAGAGTATATAGCTGATTTTAATCTTTCTGATACAGTCATCCTTATGGCCATCAATTATTAACCCATACTATAAACACGGGCTTCCTCAGTGGCTCAGCAGAAAAGAATCCGCCTGCAATGGAGGAGACGTGTGTTCAATCCCTGGAGTGGGAAGATCCCCTGGAGAAGGGCGTGGCAAGCCGCTCCAGTGTTCTTGCCTGGAGAATCCCCCTGGCCAGAGGTGCCTGGCGGGCTACAGGCCATAGGATTGCAAAGCGCTGGACATGACTGAAGCGACCAGGCACACAGCACACACAGCTATGAACAAAGGGCACTTGAGATTACTGGTATGGGTAGGGGTGCTCGTCTCTGTCGCATATTGGGCCAAACTGCAATGCTTTTAAAGTTTTTTGTTTGCACTTAGTTTTTCTTTCTTCTTATGCATGGTCAGTCTTTCAGCTGCCATCACTTCTTGTTACTATTAGTAAGTCTGGCTCTTGCAAATTTCCTGCTTATAAAATTGCTGCTTCTAATATGTACTGGGACTAGCAATGACAAAATTGTGAAATGGCAGAAGTGGGGGTGGGATGAAGACTCACAGAACTACAAGATGCAACACTTTAGCAAGAGGCATGTTACTGGTGTAGCAGGGTGGAGGAAGAAGTGGTGGGTGGCAATAAGCTCTGCAATTGTTCATCTGACTCAACGAAAGAGAAGTAAATGAAAATTATCTCAGGGGAGACAAGAGATAATCCTTGTTTATCTGTGACCTAGACAGAGCTCTGACTAGCCTGGAGTAGACACAGATACAATCCAGGGCATAGTGTTGGTGAGAAAGTTCAGAGCCAATGAACCTAAGTCTAAGGTGCCTGCTATCCATTTCCATGGCCTCACTCCCAAACTCCACCTCTGGGAGCAAACAGCTGCCCTCAGAAAGAATGAAAACAAGATTATAAATCTTCTAAATAGAAAGCAGTCAAATACTCATAAAATAAAATGAATAAAATGAAAAATGATTAAAAAAATGAAAAACAAATATCTAATTATGTCTTCTGTACACAGAGAATAATACAAGACAAAAATTCTTATCCTCATGAAACTTGTATTCTTATGGAATATGTAAATGGCATAATACCTCTCATTAAAGACTCCTAGATTTAATAAAAGCAAACAAAACCCCTAGCATTATACTATATACCAATATGAATTCAAAACAAAAGGAAAACCCCTAACATTATGCTATATAACAATATGGATTTAAAACAAAAGGATTCAAATAATAAAAGATATTATCAGGCAAATGAAAATTGAAAGAAAGCACGGTTGAGATATTAAGTGCGGATAAGTAAAGACAAAGTAACTGAGCAAAAATATCTAGGATGGTTGGAGGAATATGCTTCTTAGTATCTTTGATATTAACTCAATAACAGAGGTATCTCTGCTTTTCTTTTGGAGAGTCTTCAATATGAGGTGTTGACAAATAACAGAGAAGAAAAGTAGGAACTTATAAATGGAAAAGTGATAAAGAGATGTTTTTCTGTTGGAAGATGATAGAATCCAACAATTACCGGCCAAAGTGAAATTCAGTAGTATAAGTACCACACATGATCTTTTTGATTCAACAAAAATCTAACATCAAATGCCATGTGAGTTCCATCCTACTTGCACTAACTCAGTGAAGTTAAGCAAGTCCTTTAAGCAGTTTGGGCTTCAGTTTGATCACCTGTAAAATGGGGTGGTAGGATGGGATGACCTTTCACGTGAAATGTATCTTTAATCTTGGATTTCACTGTTATCAAAATATATAGGACCTTGATGTTTTAAATATATATGGATTACTGACTTAAACATAAAATATATTTGGAAATTATTCTTGACTGTACCTTTCACTTTTCAGTGTTACAACTTCTTCCTTTGTCTGAATCAGAAGAGTTTTGGTTATTTCCAGTTCATTTTCTGCAATATTAATTCTTCTTTTTAAGTCATCTTCTTGCCTTTCTTTTGCAGTCAGTTCTTCCTGTAAACTTTTATATATTTGTTGACAAGTCATTAAAGAGTCTTCTTTTTCTTTAAGCAATCTGGTATGCCTAAAATGGAATAAGGAAAAAAACCCAACCAATATGCATTTAATACTATATTTTTATGTTTATCAAAAATGTATAAACATCTCATTTAAAAATAAAGAGTATAACTTTAATTTTTAAAATAAGAATGCTACATAAATAGATAGTTCTGTGATTTAAAAATTTTCTTATCTAGGCAGAGGCAAAAATCATTGAACAGCTTTAATACATTGTAAACTAGGGTTAGATATTGTTTACATAAGCAATACTATAAAAAAAGTTAAGTGAATTTTAAATATTATCTAAAATATGGTTTCAAATTCAATTACTAAAAATACTAAATAAAAAATTTGCAATGTGTACCGTGAGTCAGAGATAATGGATTCAAACTTCAGTTTTCTAAGTTCTCTTTGACACTCATCAGCTTCATTAGATTTATTCCTAAAATAATACAAAATAGGTTTAAATATTTTATTTCAAAATAGTTAAAGTGAAAATGTTTTCCCTTTTGTTAAGATATATTTTTCCTTTATTACTTTTCTTATCTTTATATTCTACTTGTTACATACACAGATTTCCTTAAAATTAGAATACTTAGTCAAAGGGTTTCTGTTTGCCAAAAATACCTTAATCTGTTAGTCCAACTATATGTGTTTTTCTATATCATTATTTTATTTATCCATTAAAAATTTCTTAGCTTCTTTATATTACCATTTCTTTAAAGAAATAAATATTCAGTCCATTTCTGTACTGGCCAAGTAATATCCTATCAGGCAGATCTGCATTTAAATAAAATGTCTAAACTTTAGACAACATTAAAAGAGGTAAGAAAAAAAAAAACCCTATGTGCAAGTGACCAAAAGCAGGATGATTCTGGAGGAAAACTGATACTTCCAATGAGGTGACAGACATGGGGTCAGGTTTTTGGTTTTTGTTTTTTGTTTTTAAATGATGTTAAGCCTGAGGGCAGGCCCCAAACTGCACCATACCAGAGAACCAAAATCCAAATAGAAAACTCACAGTCACTCTGGCTTGAAGAACTACAGGACAGTGTTTGAGGACAACCACAGCAGCTGGGAGGTAAAGAGTGAACCCTGAATGGGAGCGACCTGGAGAGAGGGAATCCCAGATGCTGCATATAAACTCTGCCTATGTCTGGCTGAGCCCTGAACTACAGGTGACCTGGTGAAGACTCCAAGCAGTCTAATTAAAGATGAAAGAACTAACTGAGAGTTGAGCTGTTGCCATAGAAACAGAGTTGTGGTTTTAGGCCAACCAAATTAATTGCCTATTTAAAGCCACACAGCCCCTTCCCAACCACTACATCAACAGTATTTGGAGAAATAGAACCTAAAATTTCTGTAACATAACATTCACGAAGTTCAGAATATTAAAAAAAAAAAATTACTCAACATAGGAAGAAACAGAAAAGCAGGACCTATTCTAAAGAGAAAAGACTGTTAAAAGGGACTGACTCTGAGATGACCCAGATATTGAAATTAGCAGACAAGGACTTTTGAAGGCACTGTTATAATTCTCCTTGAAGACATAAAGGAAAATCTAGTTCTTGAAAAGATAAAAAAATCTCAGCAGAGGAAAAAAACCATTAAAAACAACAAAATGAGATAAGGAGTCTGAGATGGACATGTACACACTGCTAGATTTAAATGAATAACCAACAAGAGCCTACTGAGCAGCACAGGGAACTCTGTTCTCTATTATACGGCAGCCTGGATGAGCGGGGAGTTTAGGGGAGAGTAGATACATGTACACATTTGGCTGAATTGCTCTGCTGTGGACTTTAGACAATCACAACATTGTTAATTGGCTATACTTCAATATACAACAAAAAGTTAAATGAAAAAAAAATTTAAAAGAATGAAATGGAAATTCTAAAAAAAAATAAATATTTGTCTTGATCTTATATGATTGGGTTTGTAACAATATTCAAAAAGTTAACATATTAAGAAAGATTAATATTCTAGTTTGTATATGCTTCTCATTAATAACTTATATGAATATACTTTAAAATAGCTTTATAAGCTATTTTAATAAGTTTATGAATGTACAAAGAAATATGTTAGATTATTAATGGGTTTGCCCTACTTGCAGAGTAACTTTAATTCCTAATATACAATGAACATGAACAGCATTCATTTATTTTTATTCATTTATTTTCTTTTTTTACTGTAAAATATGATAAAATTGTAAGTTGCAGAAAATTATGTGAACAATTTATATAATGAATTATTAGGAGGAAACTAATTAGTACCATCCAGGTAAAAAAATATAACCTCATCAGCTAGCTTAGAAGCTACATACCCTCGACCCAATCATAGTCAACTCCCTCGCTCCTAAATTGATCATTCTTGAGAATTTTATGGTAATCACTTTGATTTTCTTTGGAGTTGTACTGCCCAAGTTTTATCCCTAAATACTATACTTTAATTCTTTTTCTTTTTATAAAAAAATCTTTTTAGAATATGTTTCTTTTATTATCTACTTTTTGTAAAATAGCTTATTTAAGTATTATATTAACATACAATTGTTGCTGTTCAGTCACTCAGCCATGTCGGACTCATTTTGACCCCATGAACTACAGCACGCCGAGTCTTCCCTGTTCTTCACCATCTTCCAGAGCTTGCTCAAACTCATGTCCATTGAGTTGGTGATGCCATCCAATCATCATTCTCTGTCATCCTCTGCTCCTCCTGCCTTCAGTCTCTCCCAGAATCAGGGTCTCTTCCAATGAGTTGGCTCTTAGGATCAGGCGGTCAAAGTACTAGAGCTTCAGCAATCAGTCCTTCCAATGAATATTCAGGATTGATTTCCTTTAGAATTGACTGGTTTGATCTCCTTGCAATCCAAGGGACTCTCAAGAGTCTTCTCCAACTCCACAGTTCAAAAAAGCATCAATTCTTTGGCACTCAGCCTTCTTTATGGTCCAACTCTCACATCCATACACGACTACGGGAAAAATTACAGCTTTGACTCGACAGACTTTTGTTGGCCAAGTAATGTCTCTGCTTTTTAATATGCTATCCAGGTTTGTCATAGCTTTTCTTCCAAGGAGCAAACGTCTTTTAATTTCATGGCTACAGTCACCATCTGCAGTGATTTTGGAGCCCAAGAAAATAAAGTCTCTCACTGTTTCCACTGTTTCCTTGTCTATTTGCCATGGAGTGATGGGACTGGATGCCATGATCTTAGTTTTTTAATGTTGAATTTTAAGCCAGCTTTTTCACTCTCCTCTTTCACTTTCATCAACAGGTTCTTTATACAGCCTTGATGTACTCCTTTCCTAATTTGGAGCCAGTCCATTGTTCCATTCCAGTTCTAACTGTTTCTTCCTGACCTGCATACATATTTCTCAGGAGACAGGTAAGGTGGTCTGGTGTTCTCAACTCTTTAAGAATTTCCCCCAGTTTGTTGTGATCTACACAAAGGCTTTAGTGTAGTCCATGAAGCAGATGTTTTCCTGGAATTCTCTTGCCTTTTCTGTGATCCAACAGATGTTGGCAATTTGATCCCTGGTTCCTCTGCCTTTTCTAAATCCTGCTTGATCATCTGGAAGCTCTCGGTTCACATACTGTTGAAGCCTACCTTGGAGAATTTTGAGCATTATTTTCTAGCATGTGAAATGAGTACAATTGTGTGGTAGTTTGAACATTCTTTGGCATTGCCTTTCTTTGGGATTGGAATGAAAACTGACTTTTTCCAGCCCTGTGGCCACTGCTGAGTTTTTCAAATTTGCTGGCAAATTGAGTGCCGCACTTTCACAGCATCATCTTTTAGGATTTGAAATAGCTCAGCTGGAATCCCGTCAGCTCCACTAGCTTTGTTCGTAGTGATGCTTCCTAAGGTCGGCTTGACTTCGCACTCCAGGATGTCTGACTGTAGCCGAGTGATCACAGAACACTCAGTAACGTAACACACAATGCTGTGCTTAGCTGCTCAGTCGTGTCCAACTCTCTGTGACCCCATGGACTGTAGCCCGCCAGGCTCCTCTGGCCATGGGATTCTTCAGGCAAGAATACTGGAGTTGGTTGCCATGCCCTCCTCCAGGGAATCTTCCCAACCCAAGGATCACACTCAAGTCAACTGCATTGCGGGTGGATTCTTTCCCAGCTGAGCCACCAGGGAAGTCCCAGAATACTGGAGCGGGCAGCCTATCCCTTCTCCAGGGGACCTTCCCAACCCAGGAATTGAATCGGGGTCTCCTGCATTGCAGGCGGATTCTTTAACAGCTGAGCTCCCAGGGAAGCCCCTAATATACAATAAACTCACACAATTTGAAAGATTTGACATATGTATAAAAACTATCACTAGAATCAAGTAGCACTTGAGCGTACTTAGAGCTTAGATACTGGTCTCTAATACCATTCCCACTCAAAGGAACCAGGACTGCTCAGACAAACGGCTGATTCCAAGGCTGGGGCACAGTAGGTATTCCTGAAACAGTTTGTTATAATGAAAGTGAAGTGAAGTCGCTCAGTCATGTCTGACTCCTTGTGACCCCATGGGCTATATAGCCCACCAGGCTCCTCAGTCCATGGGATTTTCCAGGCAAGAGTACTAGATTGGGTTGCCATTTCCTTCTCCAGGGGATCTTCCCAACCCAGGGATCGAACCCGGGCCAGGGATTGAACACGGGTCTCCCGCACTGAAGGCAGACGCTTTACCGTCTGAGCCTCCAGGGAAGCAATGAAAGTAAGGAAGTACTTATAAAAGATGATGGGAATGTGTTCCAGCATTGTAAGAATCATCTTGAAGGGGCCCCCACTAGCTAACTTGTGTGCCAAAGTAATTAAGTACAGTAATGATTGGTGAACCATTGAACAAAATAAAGTTCAGGAATCCATACCAATAATTGATAAATAATGGGAAGAGGGAGGTTCTTATTTAAAGTAGAATGAAGAGGGATCACTAATTAATGAGGAGGGAGATCTGGAGTTGGAAAAATCATCTAACAACAACTGGATAAGGACTGGATGAGGCAAAAATCATTTATGGATAAATGCTGATGAAAATCAGAGCATGTGTATGTATTTAAAGTGTCCCTTATAGACTGTTTACTGGTTGAAACAGAACAAGAACCCTCAGCAATAACCTTCAGTGAAAGAACTAAGTTCTACTTTGACCAGGTGATCAAAATTAACATCACCAGTGAGAAGCAGATGCTCATGTGCCTCCAGCTGTGATGCCCTGAGAAGTGCTTATGCTTACCTATGAGGCTTGCGGGCTGAGAGTACATATCCTTAATCCAATCAAGAGGAAAATACAAAATGGAAAAAATTTTATTTAAAAAAAGTATGAAGGGTTCTACATTCTTCAAAATTGTCCATGTCATAAAAAGATATAGCCATTTGAAAACTAAGTGTATTATGCAATGACAGGGGAAAATATCCAGGATATATTACTAAGTGAAAATATGTTTAAAA